CCTCACTGCTGGATTTCTACCCAATCCTAACCACTAAATCATAGAATTGTACATTTTATAACCATGATAATTTTTTAAAAATTTACTTATTTCTCTTTATCTCCTTTAATTTAAACATTATAATTTCTTGCCCAGATAACTGGGCAAGTGATTCCCCCATTACTGGAGAATGCTGTGAAAGTTCCTTCATTCATCTCTCATTCGTTCCCACTCCCACATTCTAGCACTCCATTCTCTGTAGAAAAACTATGAGTGACAGTGTACCTGTCTTTTTTTAGGCCCCAGTGCGGTATCCCTCTTCTGGGAAGCTTTCTGTAACCTGGCCCTGGTGCACCTCCCACAGATACATAATGAAGTCTGCTATTGCACTTATTTTACTATACTGCAGTGGATGGTTTACTTGTCCATCTTTCCAGCAGGCTGTGAGTTCCTTAAGGTGAGAGACAGTTTCTGATTAATCTTTATTCTTCCCAGAATCTAATGTCGTACCTGACACACAAAAGAAATCAAATGTTTATTGAAACGACAGAAAGATGATACAGGAGCTATTAGTCAATAGATTGCTGCTGTAATCTAAATATGAAGCTAAGAAGATCTAGTGTACTGGTGATTGTGAGGATTGGAGAAATCACTGATGCAAAAGCCAATTCAATTCATTAAGCACTACCTAAATACTACAGAAACTAGAAACTACAGTAAGACAGAGTCCTAGCCCTATATGGTTGCCAATTTAGCAGAGAAGGTATGAAACCAAGCTATAAAATGTGTCAAGTTCTAGAATAGTAAGAACAGTGCTCATTAAGTCCTGATTATAAAGCAATTAATTTTAGGGAAATGGGGGAGGGAAGAAGCCTCAAAAATAGGTAACCTTTCAGTTCAACTTTCCAGGCCAAAGAGAATTCTGTCAAGGAAAGAAGGGGAACAACAGTATTCCAAAGAGGGAACTGGATAAGAACAGCAAAAGGGTACAAGGATGCCTAGCTCATAGTAGGTGCTCATTAAATGTTAGCTAAATAAAAGAATTTATAAGTATTTCCGTGTGGATAAAAAGTAGGAGATGGAAGAAAAAAAAAAAAAGTAGGAGATGAAGCTGGAAAGATAGCTGATGGCCAGATAATAAAGAACCTCAGTACAAAAGGTCTCAGCTTAGATTGGTAGACATTAAAAGGTCTATAGCAAGCTTAGATTGGTAGCCATTAAAAGGTCTATAGCAAGGCCCTAACGCAATCAGAACTGTGTTTTGGAAACATCTGTAATGGTTTTGAGGAATATGGTATTGAAACAGTGTCTCTTAACGAGCTAAATGGAGGGGTACGTGCCCTGAGCGTGAGAGGGAAGAAAGAAAAAAGGGAGCGGTATATTGAAATAATACCAGCTTATAAAGTAATTTGTGCTAGAAACAAGAAGAAATGAGGGACCGAAATGTGCAAGTAAGGGTGCTTATTCCAAAACAGAAGCCAAAAGGACTGATGAGAAGAATGAAGGGGAAACCAAAGAACAAAAGCTATCTAAAACCTAACTACAACAGTCAGAATCCTGTATAAGAATAAAAGGTAGCGCCTCCAATGTAGGCACGGACCCTGATGTAACTAACTGTTCAAGTACAGCAAGAATGAACAGGAAAACACAAAGAGAGGGGAGGTAGAGGGTACCCTCTATCCTATTAGGGGGTAGGTAGAAAGGAAGAACTGAAAATGAACTTAAAATGTTACGTAAATGGAGGTCTTACGGTTTTGTTAGCTTAGATAGGGAACACTACTAGATCAGGATGCAGATTTGAGGGAGGAAAACAGGTACAGTTTTGAATATGCTGAATATGGGAACCTGTACAGTGTCCAGTTTGAAATGAAGTTCATAAAGAGGTCAATGCCTCACAAAGATTTGACAATCATGAGTGAAACAGATAGAAGTAGAAACCATGGGGAAAGAGGTCATCTACAGAGTGACTTCAAGGTGAGAAAAGGGCCAATGACAGAGCTGTGGAGGTTACTTTCAGAAGAAGGACAGCCAAGAGACAAAAAAGGAGATTCAGAAAGAATAGTAAGAAAAATAGGTAGAAAAAGGAGGGGAGCTAGAGATGAGTAACAATGATAGACAACACTTCTACAATATGACTATCACAGGTGAGTCTCTGTTGTAAGCATTTATCTACATCAATTCATTTAATGCTAATCATAACCCTATAGATGGATACTACAAGTATCCTCACCTTATAAGTGATGAAATAGAGAGGCTAAGTAATTTGCTAAAAGCCACTCAACTAATAGATGGTAGATATGGAGTATGAGCATAGGCAGTCTCTCCTTGGACAAGAGAATATCAAAGAAAAGAGATACCAACAGTGTCAGACATTACTAAGGAGAGTAAGATTTGAGGTCCTCATATTTGGAATTAGTTCACTGAGAGAGGCATAAATCAGAATAAAATGGGTTAAAAAGTTCATGAGAAGTGAAGAGACAAACCCCAGGAGAAAATTTTTATAAACTGTGTATCTCATGAGGGACTATTTGGCACATATAAAGAACTATTACTATTATTTAATTAAAAAAAAAACCCCAATTTTAAAAATTGGGCAAAGGCTTGGAATGGACAGTCTTCCAAAGATATACAAATGGCTGAAAAGCACATGAAAAAATGCTTAGCATCATTAACCATCAGAGAAATGCAAATCAAAACCACAAGGAGGTACTACTCCACACCCACTAGGAGAGCTATAATCAAAGAGTCAGATAATAACATGTATTGGTAAGGAGGTAGAGAAATTGAAACACTTGTAACACTGCTAGTGGGAGTATCCCTTTGGAAAAGTTTGGCATTTCCTCAAATGGTTAAACACAGAAACTGTATGACCCAGCAATTCAACTCTTAGGTATATATTCAAGAGACATGAAAACATGTCCGTACAAAATTCTTTACATGAATGTTTATAACAGCATTATTTATAATAGCCCCCAAACAGAAACAACCCAAATGTCCAAGTACACAGTAAATTATATATGCCATATCCCTATAATGGAATAGTTGGTAATAAAAAGGAATGATGTATTAATACATGCTACAACATAGACAAACCTTGAAAACACCATGCTAAGTGAAAGAAACCAATCACAAAGAACCACATACATATTGTAAGCTTCTGTTTGTGTGAATTGTCCATATAGGCAATCTATAGAAACAGAAAATAGATTACAGGTTGGGTAGGGCCAATGGGGGAAGAAGACTGGGGAGGTTTGGGGAGTGGTGGCTGAGTAGTGCAGAGTTTCTTTTTGGTGTAATGAAAATGTGCAACCATCACCATAGGCAACTTTCGAATAACTCTGAGAGCATGCTAAAAGCTCTGAATTGTACACCTTAATTTAAATTAGTGTACGGTATATGAAATACATCTTGACAAAGCTGTTTTAAAAAGATAATTGGAAATGAAGTAGAAGACAGGAATGCTTGAGTGGGGAGATAAGGTCGAAGAAAGACTGGGGGAAACCTGAATAGGTTTTACTGAGAGAAGTTAGTGGAAACACACACACGGGCACACATACACAAAAGCATCAGGGATTAAGCAAAATCCTTACGGGGATGGAGGAAGAAAACCGAAAACCTGGGACAGCAAAGATAGAGATAACTGGTGTAAAAGTAAATTGAGAGGAACCCATTTTTCACAGAAATAGAAGAAAGGGAAGTAAATACTTCCCTGTCTGTGGCTGAATATAAAGATGAAGGATAGAATAAGAAGTCCAAAAAAGTAATAGAAGTTAGAAAAATTATTGACAAGGAAAAGAAAGCAACAGATAAAAACCTTATGTAGAAAATAACAAAAACCTTATGTAGAACTAAGTGGAGTGAGATTAGAAATAAGCTTTAATGATGTCAGTATGTGTGACTATAGGATATTTTTGGCTAGATTGCTCAGGCCAGTTTATACACTGAGATGCCAGGTGACTGGGCTGTTTTGGGGTTGAAGGTTGCTGAAGAATGTAGTGAAATGCTTGATCATAAAATCTCATTGAGTGGGGAAGGTAATTAAATGAAAAGATGATGGATGTTTCAAAGGAAGAACTGGATTTAATGACTGAATCAATATGGAAGACAAAGGAGGAGGATTTCTAATTCATATGTCTGGAAGAAATGACAACTAAATGACCAAAAAAGAGTTCTTGGAGAGGAACAGGCAAAAGAAAGATGATGAATTACTCAACAATATATCATAAGGTTTAGATTGAGGAAGGTTCTTAGGAAAATAAACCTGTCATTTTATTTTTTTTTAAAGATTTTATTTATTTATTTGACGGAAAGAGAGAGATCCCAAGTAGGCAGAAAGGGAAGCAGAGAGAGAGGAGGAAGCAGGCTCCCCGAGGAGCAGAGAGCCTGATGCTCTGAGCGGAAGGCAGAGGCTTTAACCCACTGGGCCACCCAGGTGCCCCAAACCTATCATTTTAAAGAGAAACAGGAATCAAGTGAGGCCCAGAGAAGTTAAATGACTTTGATAAAGCCTCAGAGTATCAACCGAAGATCAGAAATAATTTCAAACTCCAAGCCATCACTGCACCCAGAACCTCCCTAATATCTGGCGTTTGACATGATACAGGACATATAAATGGTAATTCTTCCCGAGGAGATTCAATAGCACTAAAATTGGGTCTGAATTTCTAGGTTTATTTCAGATGATAGTGGGGAAATATGATTCAGGAACAAAACGAATGACAGGAGAAGCCAATATGAGATAAAACATTTGCTCTGGTAATCCACATGGAGATAATCAAGAGTTGGATGTAGAATGATATAAGCACCTTAAAATATTCTAATGTGAGAACATTTATGCTTCAAAGTCCTCTCAGTGTTATTTGGCAATATAGATGCTAGGACATATAAATTTATTATGGCTTAGAATTTTTAACATTAAGAGCTTTTGCTTACTTTTAAGGTTCTTTTTAGGTTACAGAAATATGAAATACTGAATTGAAGTCTGATTAGGTCTCTTTTAAGGGGCTAGATATTTGCCTTACCTTTACTACCTTGTAGTCACACAAGTATTCCACCTCATAATTGTTTAGATTCCTTTTGGTGATTCCAATCGATTTACATGTGAGTTTTTCTTTTCTACATAATTCCTGAAGAGTATCAAGTGAAACTAGGCAAGGCACACACCAAGCTACAATAAGAAAATAGAATTCTTTACTAATGAAGTAGCTACTCAATTAAAGCAAAAAAAAAAAAAAAAAAAGGAAAAACTTAAGACCTCTATATCCCACCCTTCAACTGGCAATTTTATAGGACTGAAAATTCATATGACAAGAAACCATTTACGTGTCTTCAAGAAAAAGTTAAGCATTAAGGAACTATTTTGGCAAACTGGTCTTCTTGGATTTTTTTTCATAGGTCTCTATCCTACTATGCTTAATTAATGTAAATTAATTTCTACTAAGCCACCTGAACAAAAAGTTTCATGTCTGTAAGCTTTCTTAAAATTACATATAGATGCAAAGGTCAACAGAGATAATGTTTTTACCTTTTCCATTATATTCTGCATAGAATACAAAGAATATAATTGCTTTTAATAAAATGTAGATCTCTAAGGCAAACTTATTAAAAATATCTTAAATATATTTTAAAAACATCCTTACAAGTTATTAAAAACAACTTTCTCCCTTTCTCTTAGTTGGTCAATAAGAAATGAAATCTAATTGAAATATAACTCTATAGTATCACAGTTTTACATCAATCACATGCCCTACTTTTCCCATTCTGGAATGCTGAAGGAAATTTTAACTTCATTTATTATTTTGCCTATGCTGTATTATTATCAAGGTAAATAAGCCCAAGAGTTATAACAAATAATGAAGAATTTATTTTCATAATACTCATTTCCTGTATTGTTTTTAAAGCCAAGATTTGTAAAACAGAGTAATCAATTTACATAATCCATATACCAAATTAAAAAAAAAAAATCAGACACACTCATACTTAACCTTAGAGAAGCCAGTAACTAAATATGCTGAAGATTTTTACTCACAAATTTCTGTAAACAGTATGCTACCATATGGCATATAAAATGTTACCGCAAACTGATGTTTAGAAATATGTAATAAACTTGGTTTTATTGCTAGTGTTATGGTAAGCACTCCAGAGAATCAAGGGTCCTCTGTCCCAGCCTTTGCTATCTGCCTACCTGACGTTAGTGATATTTCCATCTTTCCAGATTTCAGATTCACTGAAAAAATGTGAGGGTGGGAGTTAAGTGGAATTAACCAAACAAAATCTACCAGTAAATTCAAGCTTTACCTGGTAGCTCTCCAAGGTAGTTCTGATAACCTTTTGTTTTGAGGTAAATTTCGAAGGAAGAGAGAACACACAGCAGCTCTTACTATATCCTTCCCTCCCCCTTCCCAACTCATACTGGGGCTTCATTGTCAGAAACCTTGAAGCACGATTTCCACCACCCCGCTTCCTACAAAAGATTCATAATTCTAGACTACAAAAATGAAAGGTATTTTCTCCAAAAAAATATTTGGGGGAGTGACTGCTTACGGTGGAGTAGTGGTTTGGGTGTAGGAGAGTGCTGTAACAGAAATGACCACTTAAAATGTCTTCCATTTAAAAAAACTTGGGGATGCTTTGTGTAAAGTTATCCTCACTATGCTGATCACGGGCAAAGGAGGTTCCTCTTGGATATCACCCAAGCTGTGTATGTCTTGTTGTCCCTACCATTTTTATCTAGTTTAACCTGAGGTTCAAGACAACCCTGAACGGAAACGCTATTTTTGAGAAAAAGACTGTAACATAGGAAACCGCAAACCCTTGGTTAACAATTCTGATTATCTATAATAATGTAGAAGATAATTCATTTGGAAGATTAAACATTTCATTACCCACTACAAAAACCTTACACTAGGTTTTACCTCTAGCGGAAGAAAAGTTTGGGGATAATGAGCTCATAATCTAGGTGGAGAGTAGTGCAAGCAAACACTTTAAATTCTAGAATGCCTTGAAAATTCCAGTCTTTCAGGGGGTGCGCGCGGCAGGCAGGCGCACACACACAAGCACTACACGCTAGGTATCTAATTCTCTGGCGTCCGCATAAGTAACACGCAAGTTCCCGGTGGGTATAAAAATTACCTTAAGCCAAAGGCTACGTCTTCAAACACCCCCTTACTGGGATATTCTCCGACGGGGAATTTACCCTTCTAGTGCGTCCATACTGAGGCGTATGCTCACTTATTTCCTGAAGGTTCACACTTCAGCCCCAATTTCTTTTTTCCTCTGATACTGAGGTCACATTTACACCACCGGGTACTTCCCGCTCCCCAGTTAAAAAGCCAGCCCGAACACAAAACGTCCCGCCCAAAACCACCACAAAGGAGTAAACCACACGCGTGCCCACAGGCCCTCGAGCACCCCCCCGGGGATTGGGGATTACCAGGAGCCGCGGCGGCCGCCCGAATACCTCCACACGGCGACCAGGCGGGGAGGGGCCTCCGGCCCAACGGGCAGCGGGGGCCGGGCCACGGAGTCCGCCGGACCTCCGCGGAGCGAGAGACAGCAGACCTCGGAGCAGGGCGCGCGGACCGGGCCCAGCGGAAGCGGGGCGCAGGAGGAGACTGCGGGGAGCGAGCGGGCCGTGCTGTGAGAAGGGTCAGGGACCGGGGGAAGGGTGAAGCCCGCGGGGCGCCTTTAGGGGCCAAGGTGTCAGCAGAGTGGAAGGCGGCGTTTCGCCGCGTCGCGCTCTGGCGGCCCCACGGATCCCGGCCCCGCTTCCTGGGCCTTGGGAGTTTGCCTGGAGAACGGGGGATATTGAGGGGTGCCGCTCTCCAGCCCTCACCTCCTCGCGCCTCGGCCCCGACCGCCGCCATCTTGAAGAGCTTTCATTCAAACTGGCGCGGTCTGACGGGATAGCTCAGCTGGCTTGACGCCCCGCCCCTGCCCGACCTGCGCGGGAGTCTGGGGGCCCGGGCTGGGGGCTGGAATCTGCGACGCGTCCTGACGTCACCGGAGGCCGACCCCGGCCGCAGCGGCGAGCGCGCATGCGCCCCAAACCCCATCCCTACGCGCGGGAGGGCGAGGGAGCCGCAAGCGGGGGTGGGGGGGCGGAGCGCGCGCGCGCGGTCCCGGCCAAGCGGCGCAATTTGAGTTAGCCACCAGCCTACCTTGACCCGGTGGTGTAACTCCTAATTCGGGAGCATGCATATGCATCAGGCCTTCCCACGCTTTTTAGTTCTTCCATGTCATACAAAAATCCAAAATGTAGAGCGGAGCTGTATGGTGCAGAGTAGGTTTACCTCGCATGCCTGTTCTTCAGCCACCTGAGCCCAACTAACCATTGTTTCTACGCCCCTAGATCAAAGGTTCTCAAAATTGGTTGCATGTTGCGATCACTTGGAAAGGTTTTGTTTTTTGGTCCCACTCGCTGATACTGATTTGATTGGTATGGGGTGTGACATGAGCTTTGGAATTTTTTACAGCTCCCCAGGTGATTGTAGTATGCAGCAGTTTGAAACCACCAGTCTCCATCTGTGCTTTTCACACTTGAATGGCCATAGGAATCATCTGGGGATCTTGCTAAAATGCAGATTCAGATTAGGTAGGTCTGGGCTGGGATCTGAGGTTCTGCCGTTTCTAAGGAACTCTTCGCCTGATGCTTCTTGGTGGGGGGCGGGCAGGGCGAGCGGAAGGGAAGTTTGCTAGCAAGGCTGCAGGACGCCGGGTCTCTGCTGGACAACTGCCTGAACTCCTAGTCTCCCCACCCCCCACCGCCCCGCCCCCATCCACTCTTCACACCGCTTCCATGGTGATTGTTCTAAACAGTCTAACGCAGAAATCTTAGAAGAGTCAATTGGGAAACCCTGTGTAGAAAGCCGTTTGACATTGACCAAGGATTTTGGTAATTTTTTGGTCAAAAATTACAAAAATCTTTCAAAGCATCATGTATAAATTTGGAACACTGTAAATACAGAACATTGAAGAAATTAGTTTGATTCCATTGTGAAATACTATCTAGCCACTTAAAAAGATATTTATGAAGGCTTTAGTTTCATGGGGGAATGTTTAACATGTTAAGCAAAAAAGCAATAACAAAAACCTATAAAAGTTTCAACTACATAAAAAGGCATAGGAAGATAAATGTAAAATCTCTGGGGGGGGGTGATTTCCTTTTTGATTTCTCTTTACATATTTAACCATTTTCTATAGTGAGCATCTTATTACCTTGGCAATAAGGAATAAAAAATCCTGTCCAACCCTATTGCCTGGGAGCCCTATTGTGGCATAGTGGTTACTGTCCACACATCTCAGGCCTCACTGCTCATCATTGTTCCTTCTTAATTTGTGAGTTCCTCAAATATTTCCTGCTCCGTGTTCCCAGGACTTCTTCAATTCTGCTCTTGCTGCTAGAAAATGCCTACTTTGCCCCTTCTTTACCAGGACTACTCCTATAAACCCTTTAAGACTTAGATGCAGCTTCACCGCCTTCCTCCCCTCCCCAAGTGTATTCACTGCCAGTCCTATGTGTTCTTATTAGAACAACCCAGGAACATCTATCTTTAACTTTTTTAAAAAAATATTTATTTATTTGGCAGACAGAGATCACAAGTAGGCAAGGAGGCAGGCAGAGAGAGAGGAAGGGAAGCCGAGCAAAGAGCCTGATGCGGGGCTCAATCCCAGGACCCTGAGATCATGACCTGAGCCAAAGATAGGCTTTAACCCACTGAGCCACCCAGGCACCCCATCCTTAGCTTCTTTGTAGGTTTTTCTTCTACCTCATTGACCTCTACACCTCACTGACTTCTCGTCACTCCCTTTATGTAGCCTAAATGCTGAGGTTCCTTAGGACTTGGCCCCCAAGACATCTCTCTTAGGCTCTCTCCCTAAGTGACTGCCTCAGTTCCCATGGGTTTATATATCATCTTTATGCTAAAGCTTCCCAACTTTTTGTCTCCAGCCTTGACCTCTTCCTTGAATTCCACATCTGAATACCCATAGTGCCTAGCTGACATATCCTCTTAGGTGTTGCACAAACATCTCAAATTGATCACACTCCTAAGAGTGCCCTTCATTTTTACCTCTAGACCTGCCTGGTCCTCTCCACTGCTGGCATCCCCACACTTTCTCATTTCAGTACACTGGCACAACCATCAACTCAGGGGTCCAAGAAGGAAATCTAGGTGTCATCTTGATTTCCTCTCTCTTCATTCCATAATTTCATTAGCAATTTGTGTCAATGCTATGTCCAAAATATACCTTCATACTGCCTCCTTTCTCCATTGCTGCTGCTATGCCCTTAGTAGAGGCCACCATTTCTAACCTGCAGTCCTACAAAAGCCTGCCTGGCTTCACTTCCGCTATTGCTTCTCCTCCAATCCATCTTCCATACAACTCAAAGAGTCACCCTTAAACATAAAGTGGGACATGTCCTTATCCTGCTTTAAATACTTCCTGGAGTACATAGAATAAAATCCAAACCTTCTGCTAGCTTGCTAGGCCTTAAAAGATTGGAACCCTAACACCCTGACCTGACTTTGTGCCACTCTCTTCTTTACTCACTCTTCTCTAGGCTCTTTTCCACCCATTCAGAAATCTTTTATGGTGTTGTATCTCCTATGTGCCAGACAATGTATGAGGTGCTTAAAGTATACAGGAATGAAAAAGACCCTGTCCGCCTAGGGCTTATGTCCTAGTAGGAGGAGCAGATAATAAGCAAGTAAATAAATATCTTAAGGCAACTCTAAATTACTTCCTAGAGGAGTGCTTGAGTCTCCACTTGTTCCATTTCCTCAGAGGCCTCTCCGGGTCACCCTAACATAGGTACTTCCAGTCTTCCATTCTTTCTCCTTGGCACTAAATGCACTTCCCAACATTTGCAGTTATCTTGTGTGTTTTTTGGGTCTTGATCAGTTTCAGCAAAAATTTACAGAATAAATTGGACTCTTTTGTAGATCAACTGTTTCCTTTGTCTTTCGTCTTTAACCCCACTAATTCCAGGGGACAGATAAGACCTTGTCTCTTCAACAGGTACTACTGTGTAACTAAGTGAAGCAGCGACTCTCAAAGTATGGTACGGAGACCCCAAGACCCTTCATAAGTTCAAAACTTTTCATAATGATACCAAAATGTTTTCTGGGGCGCCTGGGTGGCTCAGTGGGTTAAGCCACTGCCTTCGGCTCAGGTCATGATCTCGGGGTCCTGGGATCGAGTCCCACATCAGGCTCTCTGCTCAGCGGGGAGCCTGCTTCCCCCTCTCTCTCTCTCTGCCTGCCTCTCTGCCTACTTGTGATCTCTGTCAAATAAATAAATAAAATCTTTAAAAAAAATTATAAAAAAATGTTTTCTGACTTCTTTACTTTCCTCTCACAATTATAGAGTGAAGTTTTTCAGAGGATACACAACTTGGATATTGCAACAGATTTAAAGAAACAAACAAACAAACAAAAAGAAACAGAACACAGCTATCTTCTCAAGGCAGACATTAAAGAGATTTGAAAAACATAAAACATTCCACAATTAACACTAAATCTTTGTTTTTGAAAAGTTATCTTTCATAAAAATGTTACTTAACATGTAATTTTTTTATTTAAAAAAATGAGTGATTTTGAAAATCTCTGGGTTTTAGGACTAACCCAATGGAGGGTAACATTTTTTCATAACACTCAGGAGACGAGGGGGAAATGTACTACTGTAATCCTCAGCTGTAACTCAGGAAGGTTAGTTCTGGAAAGTTCTCTCCCATCTTCTCCATGACCTGGCTTCTGAGGATGGTTCTGATCTTCCCTGAAAAATCAGAGCCATGCCAGACCCTTGGCCCCCAAAGTTATCCCTGTATCTCCCAACATGCCAGCAAAAAAAGCTCAGACTCATAGCAAAAGTTCACATAGGAAGGAGGAAGGGAAAATATGAGTCAAAGGGCCTACAAGTTACAAAAGGAAGGAGGCTGGTTCAACAGACAAGGAGGTGCAGGAGTGATGGGGATATCAGAGACACATACATATATATATATATTTAACCAATGTAGGGATGCCTGGTGGCTCAGTCAGTTAAGCATCTGCCTTTAGCTCAGGTCATGATCCCAGGGTCCGGGGATCGAGCCTTACATTGGGCTCCCTGCTCATTGGAGAGCCTGCCTCTCCCTCTCCCTCTGCCTTTCCCCACCCCCACTTGTGCTCTCTCTGTCTCGCTCTATCTCAAATAAATAAAATCTTTAAACAAAAATAAAACCAATATAAATAAAAGCTCTTTAGATTCCCAATAATTTTTAAGAATGTAAAAGAGTCCTGAGACTAAAAAATTTGAGGATCTTGGTAAATTCTGGCTATAAATGGAGAGGGAAATCAAAGCCAGACACATATATCACTGGCCTCAAGGGAAACATAACAGAAGTATGCCTCCATCCCCCAGTTTTTTCCCACAAAGACCCATGCAAACATGATTTCTGGAGACACATGGGAGTGTCCCCTCTTTAATTTGAATGTTCTTTGGGAATAGAATGGACAATGTGAATTTAAATGAAATAATGCACAGAAAGTGTTTAGAATAATAAGCAATCAAGGAAAATTGTTTAAAAAAAAGCATTAGTTCAAAATTCACACTTACAGTCAGTTCTTGGATAAATTAACTTCTCTCCATCTATTTCTCTTTGTACATGTAGAACACAAATAATAGAGGCTAGCTTACTCTCTGCATATAGCAACTACTCTGGGAGCTATGGTGATGTTACAATTTAAAAATGAGATAAAGAATTAAAGCAAACAAACAGTGGTATTGTTATGTTACATGGTCACTCACTGCTATTTTAGAAATCCTGACATTTTCCCTCAGAATTTGTTTGTGCTGATTTTAAAAAGATTTGAGAGAGAGAGAGGTGAGAGAAAGGAGAAGATGCTCGTGCATGCTGAGCAGAGGAAGAGGCAGAGTGAGGAGAAAGAGCAGACTCAAGCAGACTCCCCCCCTCTCCGCCCGCCAGCATGGAGCCTAATGTGGGGCTCAATCTCACGACCCTTCAGATCATGACTTGAGCTGAAGTCGAGTCAGATGCTTAACCGACTGAGCCACCCAG